GTTCAATAATGCTGCTATTGACATTATTGAAATAGCTTACTGCCATATTTACAGCATCTTGAATGACAGGACTCTCCACGAAATATTCTTTAGAACACCTGTCCCAAATCAATTTGTTCGAACATTCATTTACGTTTTGAGTTTTCCCATGTAAACACTTTTATAATATTTCTTCTGATGCCAGAAACGAGAATATTGGTTGTATTTCCTTTACAATGACTTTTAGCAACCCATATCTGTGTTTGTAATTGTCTGGATCTTTGTTGTAGTTGCAACAAGAATCTTCACCACTTGGGCATAAATGATGTTACGCATCTTGGTCCGAAGATGCGATGTGGGTCAGTACGGCTTTGACTGATTTAGTCATATCATCCAAATTTCCAGAATTTCTTCGAATGGCAATCCCATAGTAATTCTGTAAAGCATTTATTTTTTGTTCACAACATGCATTTACAGCAGCTATAGATATCCATGATCCCCCAAAACAGTCTATGCCACCATTTTATTGACTTTCTGTCGACTCCATATACAATCCTCAACATATCTGCCTTATCAACCCCACCCATATGCGAATTATAGTCTGCTGCTAAGCTGCTGGACATACCACTTCCATCTTAGACCCGTCTATTAAGGCCAACTCAGACAGCGTCGGCCGACGCAGCCCGACCCGATTTATCGTCGGGGACAGTCTTAAGCCGTTGTGAGAAAATATTAAACACGTTTAATATTCTACTACGCGACTGCCCCCGACGCACACCATCGCGTCTGCGTTCAACTCACACAGACCCGACGTGACAACAAATCGCGTCGGGCTGCGTCGGCCGACGCTGTCTGAGTTGGCCTTTAGTGTCCTTTAAACACTTTTTGTTTCTGATCCATGGTAATTTGAAATGAACGGTATGGGTTTCTTTTCCAACCATTTGAAAACACTTATGCCATCTCGACTCTTTCTGTAATCAAATTCCCCCTATTTTTTAAGTTGTCTGTACGAATTGGGAGGTATTTGTGGTTTGATCTAATGGTCCCACATGCAAGAATACCATCATCCTTTATATTTTCCAGTAATGGCACAGATGCAAAATAATTGTCGAAGTAGACATTGTAACCTTTGCCCACAAGAGGTCTTGTTAGATCATGAATAACCTTATCCCCCTGACCGTAACTTTCAGGGTAAACAGTTTCCAGTACCCCATCACTCCCTTTCCCTTGGTACACAATAAATTGCCCAATGTAACCTAAATTGTCAGCCCTGCACCATAATTTATAACCCATTTTGATGGGCTTCATTGAATTGTATTGCTTGAGGCATGATCTTCCCTTGAATAGGATTGTACTCAATACATCAATACTTTGACTTTTATCCAGCTTGTATAACAGAGCAAAATTCTTATTTAGAGAACTGAATAATGGAATTACCTTCAGGGCATTCATGTTATGATTGACATATATAGATTTGAGAGAATGTCTCCAAATCTATTTTGAGACATGCAAATTGACACAAAGTTTAATTTCAAGTACGCATCACAAGACTAGTAATCTCTCCACGATAGCCCATTAGAAGATTAATCCCAATAAACCCTAGAAGTTCATTATCTTTTAATTGTTGAAAATGACGTCCCTTCTGGTTTGCATACAGGTTTGTTTGGAAGATTGTTGTTTCTTATTTCTTCGTCTAAAAAATTTCAAAAACACATCAGTATGTGAAATAGAGTCAGCAAACTCCTCTTTATTACATCCACCAGCATCTTGTGGAAAACCTGGGTTCCTTGTCACACTCTCAATTTTTTTTCACTGTCGGTTTTTTTTTATTTATCCCTGCATTTTTCCGAAGAACACTCAGTGGCTCATCATCACTGTCACTAGAATCTCCATCACTGGAATCACCATCTGTGGTATCACCATAAGTGGGATCACCATGACTCACATCACCATGAATACCATCTGAAAGATTTTTGGCTAATCTGCTATGTGGAATCAGAATCAGAATGGACTGGTTTTGTATCGTGTATTGGTTCATTTTGTAAGTCGGAAATTCCTGATAAAATTGTATTAAAAATGCTTTTTGCTGATTTAGACATTCTGCAAACAATAAACAAAATTAAATTTATACCTAACATTGTCTATTATATATTTTGTACTACTGCTGATATCTACCATATACCTACATGATGAATTGTATACCTAAAAATTTGGCGGGACTACAAAGTCCCGTAAAATGAATAACGATGATCGAATTGCAATTTTTTTGTTAAAAATATATGGTTATGCAGCCTGAAGGGACTATAAAGTCCCATCTTTAAAATCAATTATACATTCTACACTGTTACACCTATTTATTAGTTGAGCCATCAAAACAATCTATAATACTTTAATTGCAATTAGTAAAATGATGGTATACATACCATCATTTGAAAAGTTCGAATGTTAAGACAATTTTCCAAAAAAAAACCTTTTTTGATTTTCAGCTTTAAACATGTGCAGGCAGTACCCACCTGAATTGATTTTTATGAGACTATAGAGTCCCAAAAAAGGTCAAAAGTTGAACTTTCAAAAATCGCATTTCCCGCCGTTTTTTGATAAGAAGTTGTATTACAAAAAATAGGAACATGCATATTGTGAACAATTTGAGAACAAAATCAAATCGTCCAAATCAACAGACGGCCATTTTGAAAAACGCCCTAAAATGGGACTTTTCCCCCCATACCTGGGAGGTATATAGGAGCTATATTTAATCTAAATTGGTCCATCTTGCCAAATTCATTGAGAAATAAAGGTAATCCTAAAATTAGTTATGGATCTCATGAAAATGACTCTACTATAGTTTGATTCTTTGGGTAAATATTGGCTCTCTGATATAGGCAACTTAAGGTTCCCGAATCGTTTTACTTTATCAATATTGAGGGTTAACATGGTTACTTTTGAATTTTCTATAGGCCTATTATAGATTGATGAATTGTTGTATTGCAACACCAGATTATATATTGACTAAGAAAGATTTCTTTCCAATACATTTAGTCAAATTGGTGTTTTTTTTTTTTTTTTTTTTTTTTTTTTTTTTTATGTAGTAGAGATTTTGAATACTAGTAAAATAACATCAGCATGTTGGAATATCAGGATAGTAGGCCTACAGTGTTTTTCCAAAAGTATCTGTTTGGCAAAGTTCAAAGAAAACCATTAACGTTGGTTTTGGTGGATTCTTGTCTTTGGTCGGTTTTTGGATGAACACTTAGGTTGAATCGGTGTCAAGCAATCTCTCTCTACTGTAAAGATCGTTGTTGTAACTTAAACAACTGTGAACAGCATGAAAAGGAAGGAGAAATAAAAATACAGTTTAATAAAATCAAGTCGCCTGGTCCCTTATACTATATAGTGTTGCTTTAATAACAATAATTAAAAACAGTTTGAAAAGAATAATTGAAAAGCATTGTTAAAGCGATGAATGATGTTGAGCCTATGCACAATGGTATGGATAATCGCAACAACCAAGAAATCAATATAAATGTTAAACATTAAACAACTTTATGGCAACTATAGTTATTAGGCAGTTTTCGCCACACAACGTCAACCTTAACGTTAACGGATGAGGTCAAAATTTTATTCTTCTTGCGTTGCAGAGTACATTAATTTCAGGATTTTATGTGCTCAACGTATGTTAGTTACTGGTTTGCCTATGCACATTTTGATTTGTTTGTAAAAGAGGCGGAGTTATCGCGCTGCATGTTGGGTACTAACGTTAAAGTTAAGGTTGTCGTGCGGCAAAAACTACCTACTAAATCAATGGGGAAGGCAACACCTTCAGCTGGACCTGCAGGCCAGCTGATATGTATGCAGGCCCTAATAACCCTGTGTGGGTTATTAACAGTGTATAAACAGCACCTAGGCCTCTAGGCTAGGCACCTGCGTAGCCTAGCCCTACTGTAGGTACAGGTTTTTAAAAGGGAACTATAAAAATCTAGGCCTAGCTGGGTGGGCTAGAATAAGATGCCTGCGAAATGATCATTCAATGAAAATCATGTTGTTTTTGTTTTCCATCGATCGTCAGCAGTGTCACTCTCGCCTCCCTGTCGGTCAAGAAGGATTCACATGGTTGTTTGCTGTACCGACCCACACAGTGACACAGCAGACCTGGCACCGACACGATGTGTAACGGTCATAGGTATTACTACGCATGTGATATAATTGACTGGATTGTATTGCGGAGATAATTGTAAATAATTGAAAATTATAGCGATACAAAATAGTAACATATAAATGTTGAGAAAGACATAGTGGCTCATATCTTTGACAAAACACTGAAAGAGGCATGAATATCTGGAGCTACTTTGTTTAACGTGTATGCATCCTTCTGAAATGACATTGTGAAAAAGTGCCGGCCGGGACTAATTTCAATCAGTTTTTTTTAAATTATTTATTAATAAATGAAGCAATTTTGGAAAACACCACATAGCCTATTACAGTACCTGCCCATTACCAATCTGAACATTTGAGTGAAAATTTGGTTTAAATCTTCTCAGTAACAAAAGAGAAAATCTCGGACACACAAACCCCAATTTTCCTTTTATATATGTAGCGGGTGACCCCTACTTGAATTAAGCGAATCTGTCACTTAATTCGTCGTGGGGGCTCGGGTTCCAGTTACGCGCAGGCTCAGTCGCTAGATGTTTACATATATGGCCACAAATAAAACAAGAGGAACCTTTTCTAGTTATATACTTAATAATGATTTATTGGGCAATGGGGATTACAATAGGGACTTATAAGTTGGACCTAACCTAACCTAACAAACTACTCACGTAAGACCGTCGGCAATGCAGCGTACGCTTGTAGAAAGTAAAATAATAATAAATGCAAGAAGTCCAACAAAAATAGAGTTCAGAATATAGGCAAATCAGCGAGCTCCAATGATATAACAAAGTCAAAAAATCGCTTCCACTTTCAATCGTCTGGTTGCACTTGGTACCGGTAACTGTTAAAGCAAATCAAACTGTTCTTCTGATTCAAGTCAGGAAAAATAGTGGAACCAAAAGAGTAGTAATTCTTCTTCCTTTTTAATTCAGGAAGGTTTCCAATCGACAGCTTTCTGAAGAAGATTCACATTTATCCTAAGTCTATCCGACTATAGGACTATACTGTGGGCTGGAGTTCCGATCGGGATCTCTCAGTGTTCCTTCTTCTCTGTTGTGTCTTTTTCCTTCTTTCCTGTTCTTTTTGTTTCCTTGGAGATGCTGGGTATATGTAGGGGATCTGGCTCCACCCTACTCATTCGAATATTCAATTATCATTGGCCCTTTAGCCTCAGGCAACACCCACAGTCACTGTCCATTCCCGATTTCCAGTGTCCGGTCATACATCATTTGATGTTGACAAGACGTTTCCTTTACTTCCTCAGGTATGTCGACAGTATACCACCCAACTCTCGGGAGAGGGTTAGCTGGTGGTATCTACTTGACTATAGGAAATGGAATGTTCAATGGGTCATTAACCTACAGGCTAAAACAGTATTCCATTGTATAGCCTCTTTGGATAAGGGATACTGGATTATTATAAATAAATAATATAGAATAAATTTAAAGGTACTTAAGATTAACTAGAAAAATATACAAAAATACACCCTACTACATATATATAGATAGACAAAAATATAAACTTGATCTATATATGAAAGTATAATACATACACTAAGTATTAAAATACACGCCATCGTGTTGGAATTCAATATTTCGACATTAATTATGTCATCAGGAATGATGAATATTCCTGATGATGACATAATTAATGTTAAAATATTGAATCCCAGTAAAAATGTTTCTAAAAACAAATGTTCCTTATTATTTAAATTTGCTATCTTTTGGTATATAAAATGATAATTTTATGATATATTTTAGTGTATGTCAACTGTGAATAAATATGTAGTAAAATATGAAACAATTTTTTGTTCGGATTTTGTTGGACAGTTCAGAGTAGACATTTTTATATCTATTATTTCAACACATGTATCCATACAAAATACATGAAAATGATATATAGCATTGTTCCTTATTAAATTTTCTATCTTTTGGTATATAGATCATATTTTTATAAAAAAAAAAAAAAGTTTTATATATGAAAACTGAAGAAAAAGTAGAAGTTGTTTTGTTTTTTTGTCAGTTAGTCTAGAGAAAACATTTATTTGTGTATTTATTGTGATAGATGTGTTGAAATAATACATATACAATGATATATGATTAAGTTTTGATCATCCTTAGTCTGGCCTCCAGCTGATTAGAGACACACAAGCCCCACTACCACGTCAAGGTTGATGATCATAGTGAGGAACAGGTGGCACATGTTATGCGCCCCTTCAGACCAAAAAGCATAGAAACACAAGCAATTCACATAAGAATGGTATACAAACAAAAACATATTCAAACTAACTATTTATCTTATACTTA